TCAGATAGCAGCCACACAAAGCAATTACTGACCTGATGCCCTGCCAGAACCGGTTTCAGCTGCCCTTAAATGCGCCCCTGCGTCTAATCAGTGTGGACGCACTAGTTCGAATTAGCAAAACGCTAATTCGAACTAGTTTTTAGTTCTAGATGCGTTAGTTCGAATTAGCTTAGTTCGAATTAGCTCTGTAGTGTAGATGTACCCTTATATACTAGATAGCTGTCTCTTTCTCCACCCCTGCTGCCCCAATGGGTTTCAGCTGCCCTTAAATGCGCCCCTGCGTCTAATCAGTGTGGACGCACTAGTTCGAATTAGCAAAACGCTAATTCGAACTAGTTTTTAGTTCTAGATGCGTTAGTTCGAATTAGCTTAGTTCGAATTAGCTCTGTAGTGTAGATGTACCCTTATATACTAGATAGCTGTCTCTTTCTCCACCCCTGCTGCCCCAATGGGGTTATAGCTGTCTTAGTGCCCATCTCTGGCCCCTTTGTGCTTCCTATGGTCGTTCTACAGTATAACAGTCTCCTCCTATCAGACCCCTCCCTTTTCATCTGGCACATTCCATTGTCTTGGCGCAACCAAACACGTTGTTGTAAGTTCTGATAGGAGGACTCTGTATACCAAATTTTGTGGTCCTACCTTTTCCGTTTAGGTGGATTTCTTGAACAAATGGACTCACAGATGGATGGACACACAGACAGATGCCCAAATTCTTTCAAATATATAGTAGATTAAAGAAACAGGACACTAAATTCAAGACCCATTGAAATGAATGGGCGTCTCTCCCACTGAATTAACTGAATTTTTTATCAGTCCTCAGTTGTCACAGTGTGAAGGCTAAAACGCTAAAACAGATTAGAAGATGTCTAGGATAGAAAAATAGGAAGAAGTTATCAATTCTCAACAAAAAAGATTCACAGTGGGGTACCTAAGCTCCCATGCATGGATCTTTTTTGTTTGATAAATTCATTAATTGCCTTGAAGTGAGCTGAACAGTGCAGTAGTAAAATTTGTCAGTCACAAAGTTAAAGTTAATCACAACAAGCTAAGTGTGTGAGGAACCTCAGTGTTACATGGCAGCACAATGGCAGGTGAAATTTATTGATGACAAATGAAACTAAAAAAAAGACATTCTCTAATCCAGTGAAATATGAAAATAAACCTTAATATTAAATATGTGAAATAATTTCTCATTAAATGTCGGGGATGCTATTTTTATGTTATGTATAAAGTTCTAAACACATCTATCTAAGGCTAAGTGGAAAGAGTATGATTCTGGTATTATACTGTATATTTGAGAAAAAGAGATAATGTAAAAATATTAACTCATTTGAACCCCCCTCCCCCACTAACTCCTCATATATGCGCAACAGTAGGCACAGTTAAGGTTGCACAAACAACCTTATCTTTTTCATTTCCTAAGTTTAGAATATTTCACTTTACAATCTTAATCTCTCTCTCTCTCATATATATAAACAAATTTCCTGCGGGATGACAGAATGACATCATCACAACATCAGAATCAACAGGCTGGGAGGGTAGGCATGAGTGGATGAAAGTCTAGCTGGAGAAGACAAGCTCCAGCTCCGCCCCTTCCATCCAAAGCTCCGCCCCTGGAGTCAAACCCCACTCTCTCCCAGCCCAGCTCTCCCTGGCAGCCATGTGGAGAGCCAGGGCTGCTACGTCATGTCCTCAGCTTTTACCAGAGGCTAGGGGTAGAGCCAAGTCTGCCGCAATAAGACCTTGCCTTCCCTGATGGCCAGGCTGCTGAGCTGGGAAAGGATTAGGGGGGTAGAGGGTGTAACAGGGACCAGGCAGGCATGGGGTGGGACTGGTACGGTGCAGCAAGTAGGGGGGAGGGTGCTGCAGAGCCTAGGCACAAGGAGTGGCAGGGGATGGAACAGTCAGGTAGTGCTTCAGGGCCTGGACATGGGGAGGGGCTGGCAAGAGGCAGAGGGCAGGGGGTGCCTAATGGGATGGTCATGGGGAGAGGTTGTCAGGGTGCAACCTGGCTGTTCTTCAGGAATTGGGTGGGTAAGAGAAGGAAAGACAGTGCATCGGGCAGGAGGCACTGAATGGGCTGGGGTGGGCACAGGGGTAGGGGTTGGCAGGATGCAATGTGGGGGTCCTTGCATGGGCTGGGCATGAGGAGAGGTTGTTAGGGCAGAGTGGGCAGGGGGCACAGAGTGGGCATGGGAAGGACCATCTGCCCGCACCAGCCCCTTCCCTGCAGTGTCCCCCAACTGCTTCATCCTTTGCCTCTCCCCGTGCCTCTGCTGTACAGCTCCATGCACTTGCTGCACTTTTCCAGCCCTATCCCATGATTGCTTGATCCCTGCTACGCTCCCCGCCTCCTGTGCCACGCCAGCCCCTTCCCATACCTGGCTCCGGCAGCGCTCCACACCCTCTGTTCCCCTAATTCCTCCCCCTACCTAGCCTCTGCAGTGCTCCCCACTCACCTCTTTCTGGCTGAGGGAGAGGGGCGCTTTGCACAGCTACCCTGCACCCAACATTTCCTGCCCATTAGCATTCCCATCCAAGAAGTCACCAGCCAGCGAATAATGATTGTACCCAACCCCTGGTGGGGGGAGGATGCACAATTTTGGTGCCAGAGCCTGGGCGGTAACACTTCTGGGTGGCCTTGCTATGGTTTGGGGGGGCAGCTGCTGTGTCCTGAGTGGCAAGTGCAGCCTCACCCTGGGCTGTCGTGTGGGCTTCACAGGCTGCAGCCCCCACACTGCTCCTATCTCAGCATGTCTCCTGCAAGTTCCAAGCATTCTGGGGGGGGGGGGGA